GAGAATGTGTGCACTGCTGCCTCATCTGGCATTCATAAATGGTTCCTGTACCTAAGGAAATGTTTGGAAATCATTCATAAATGCAGTGACTTTGAATTTGCACAGTGCTGCAGGTCTGGTGTGAAGTTCTTCAAATTACCGTGCACTCTCAGTGTCTCTTCTGGGGTTCAGATCTGAGGAAGCTTCACAGAATTGTTTGATGAGTGGAATAAGCTGGAATAACTAGCACTTCTGAGCTAATAATGTAAAAAACTACTATCAAAGTGGCCTGAAGCAAAGAGAAACAGTCTGAGATTCAGTGTCGTGCGTGGTGTTGCATTTAATTGGTGTCATGCACAATGGTAACAAACAGACAATTATTCCATACAATGCAATACGAAGAGAAAAAAACAGGTCTTCACGGATCATTTTAAAACCTTTGTGCATCCAGGTTAAGGACTGATATGCTTGAAATGCAGTACAGTAATACTGGAACCAAGATATCACAGAAAGAAAAACATCCCATATCATCAGGAATATGAGACTTTTTAAATAAAATGCAATTTTAGTTTATTTTAAAGGAATAAATGAAAATTTGCTCAGGTAATCCAAGATGTAGACGAGTTTGTTTCTTCATCACAACAGATTTGGAGAAATGTAGCATTACATCACTTGCTTACCAATGGATCCTCTGCAGTGAATGGGTGCCGTCAGAATGAGAGTCCAAACAGCTGATAAAAACATCACAATAATCCACAAGTAATCAACACAACTCCAGTCCATCAATTAACATCTTGCTGTGTGTTTGTATGAAACAAATCCATAATTTCATAATAACACTTCCTAGTCCATCCCTTGTTGTCCTCTCACATCAAAATCTACTGACATATTTGTTTAGAACTGTTTTGGAACTGTAAATGGTGCTTGATCTGTGCATATTTCTCTTCTAATTCAGACAGGACAACTTTTCACTGGAGAAAGCAATATTATGGAGAGACGACTCATATTTTAGCCAGAAGCAATGGTTTGAAGGTAACATGCCTTTGTGACGAATAGGTTTATTACAAACACAAAGCTTTTCACTTCACAAAACATTAAAGGGGTCACATACTGCTAAAAAGAACATTATTTTGTGTATTTGGTTTAATGAAATGTGTTTATGCGGTTTAAAAAACACATTATTTTCCACATACTGTACATTATTGTTTCTCCTCTATGCCCCGCCTTTCCTCTATGCCACTTTTTTACAAAGCTCATCGGTCTGAAAAGCGAGGTGTGCTCTGATTGGCCAGCTATCCAGTGCATTGTGATTGGCCGAATACCTCAAGCGTGTGACGGAAATGTTACGCCCCTTACATACTGTTGATGCCGTGTCCAGCCGGAGCGACGAGACAAAAACATTAAAACCCATTACAAACGAGGCATTTGTTGCATCCAGTGCGGACATAATTATGGATTATAATGACTTATACTGTCTTTTTACGCGTTGCATTGTATCGCACTGCGTAAACATAAAACCATGTCTGCATTTGTGATCGGAGAAATGACAAACAACAAGCCCTACTCTACACTGCTCAAAACTCGCGTTTGAATCATCAGTGGCAAATCCTTTAAATGAAAACATACTTACAGACTGAGTCAGAACTGCCGGCATTGTAGTCAACTCTACCAGGATCAGTAAACAGTCCTCCATAAAATGTGCTGCACACATCTGGATATTTGGGTTAAACTGTTCTGGAACAGTGTGGTAAATACAACTTAACCACTTATTTGTAATCGTGTCCTCTTTTGGAAGACCAAACAAAGTAGTTTCGCTTCCACAACGAAAAATATGGCGGCCTAGCGTGAGGGCTAGAGTGAGCAGAGGCGGCGGGGTTGAGAACGGCGACCCCGGGCTGGACTCCGCTTTGTCCACGGTGAAAGCTGTACTGAGCCGTGCCGAGCCGAGTCGTACCACGCAGTGGAAAAGCACCATAAGTTGATGTATTCCCTCAGCGACCAGCACAGATCAGCTCTAGGCATGACGAAGCAGATATCGTCCTCTTTTGGAAGACCAAACAAATGGTGCTTTTCCACTGCGTGGTACGACTCGGATCGGCACGGTATGGTTCGGCTCGGCATGGTTTGCGTTTCCACTGCAGTTCAGTACTGCTTTAGAGTGGGCGGGATTATTCACATGTCGTTATAGTTGCGCCGCCTCTACTACCACGACTCCTAAAAAAAACTTTTTCATTCTGCATCACCCCATCAAGCTCTCACTGGATCCGCTCCTCTGCTATCAACGAGAGGAACGTCTGTACTTCCGCAACAGACAACAAAACCTTTTGGTTGTTAAAAAAAAGGTGCGCTCTTTCAAAACAGTTGCGTTCGATCCTTCGCTGGCTGTGCTGATTTAAACCTAGCGGTTCTTTTGTGTTTGTGTCAGTGACGCAGGTAGAGACGATTCTCTCCGGCCAATCCGTGATCAGCAGCGTTTACACGTCACGTTTTGGTAACGGTACGGTTCGCTTGGAACCCCAACCGAAGTGGTACTAAAAAAAGTACCAGGTACCCCCAAAAGTGAACCGTACCGTGCCGTACCATGCAGTGGAAAAGCGCCAAAAGTAGTTTCGCTTTCACAACGAAGCACACAGCGTCTTCAGGACATGACGGCAGCGGCAACAATACTACAGTGAAAATAAAAGTAACGCCTTCTTTCTTTGCGTGAACATTTGGGCAGTGTTATGCAAATCTTCCCACATAGTGATGTAGATATGTGGGGGCGTGTTTGAACGAGCCGTTTTAGGTAGGCGTGGTTAACTCTTAACTTTTATAAAGAATATCTCTTTGGATTTGAGACTTTAGTCTTTGCAACTTTACAGATCTTCTTTATGCACCAAGAGCTTGTAACACTCCAAAGTGTGTTGGAAAAATTGAAATCGCATCATATGACCCCTTTAATTGATGAACTGAGTCATGTGGATTATTGTGTTGTTTTTATCATCTGTTTGGACTCTCATTCTGACGGCACCCTTTCACTGCAGAGGATCCATTGATTAGCAAGTGATGTAATGCTACATTTCTCCAAATCTGTTCTGATGAAGAAACAAACTCATCTACATCTTGGATGGCCTGAGCGAGAGTATATTTTTAGAAAATGTTCATTTTTGAGTGATCTATTACTTTAAGTCCTGTATCGTCTTAATTGGTGTCACTGTGATAATAACAAACAGACAGTTCATATCATCTGCCAAGTGACAAAAGCAGATCTTCACAGATATTTTTAAACCATTACTCTGCCATGTAGCTATGTTGAGGACTGATATACTATAACATGAGATGAAAATGTACAGTATGCTGATAAGTGATAAGATGAGTGCCTGGCTTCACAGATGACGCTCAAGTTACATTTGCAAAAAATATCAGCTCTCAGTCAGTGGAGTGTGTGTTTTTTCCCCCAAAAACGGCATACATTTTTAATGAGAGCAAATGGAGCAGCATATTTTTTTGTGGAGTGTGGGGTTTATGGCACACATGTAACTCAAGCTAAATAATGGAGTGACTGTAATCGTTCACGGCGCTCAAGAGACGCCAGACACTCATCTTCCTCCTCAACAGGAGGCCACTCTTCTCCCAGCAGGATTCTGCTAAGACTACAGCAAGAGCCGTGTTGTGAACTCACAAGTGTACACGTGCACGTGTGCACACACACACACACACACACACACACACACACACACACACACACACACACGCTTCACTGAAAAGTTATCTTTGTAGTCAACACTAAATACTGCACTCGCAAAGGACCAGAAATGTTGATATCAGATATATAAAGACTGTAAAAATCTCTAACATGTCTCAAAATCTCTCAATATAATCTTTGCAATTTTTTTCAATATATAATACTATATATAATATCTTATAATACTATATAATATCATAATATAAGATGCTTGAAATGGCATAATGCAGTACAATAATGGAACCAATTTATTTATTATTTGTTTATTATATTTATTTATGAAAACATCAAGCTACATTTTTTATTTTATTTGATTTTACTATTTATTTACTTTTATTTAATTTAATTTAATTTTATTTTATTTTATTTTACTGGTTAACATTAGATCATTTCCAGATACAAGACTCAGTTTAACTTCCTTTGCCATGAAATTAATTATTTTAATTGTCACGTTAACAGCATTGTAAACTATCAGCAACACCAGTAAGACCTGCAAGGTTTAATGGATAACATTGAGAAGCAAGAGGTGTCTATTCCCTGGAATACGTTCCAGAACTGTTTGTTCAGTTCCACAAGTGCACAGTCCACAGTTCAACTAGTGAAAATAAACAGTCCTGACTGTGGAAATGATATACATTTCCCCTTATTAAGCATTTTAAATTTGGTGTATTTGCCAAATATTCCACAGATATAAACCCTACTATTTGGTCTAACATGCTAAATATGTGCTAAGTTAAATTTTGTATTTTTTATTTATGTATTTATTTCAGTTGCGAACATAATATATTTGCAAGCAAAAAAATTATATAAAATATAATGAGTTTCATTAACTCCAGTAAATCCATTTCTGACATTACATTTGACATTACAAACATGTTCCACATCTCTTCTATTGTGTATAACATTGTTTAACTGTTTGTATGTTGTATGGTGCTGTTAACCTGTAAATCTTCTTTCACAGCAATGGCAAGCTGGTTTATGGTTAGTTTATGTTGGTCTAGTTGGCCAATATAGCCATGTTGTTCCTCACTAAAGCTTCGTGATAATATTTTATAAACCTGTGTAGAGAACACTAAATTATGTTTTGGTAATTATATTGTATTTTATATTACTACTTACATACAGTTATACTTCTCTAAATTATTTTATTTTATTTTATTTTATTTTATTTTATTTTCAAGACTCGTCTCCTTTTATGTCCTCACGCTCCCTCGCTTTCACCCAAACCAGTAGGCGGCGATATTGATTACAATTTGCTTGCGGTCGGTTGTCAAAGCCATCAAAGGAGAGGAAAGAAAAAAAGAAACAAGGAAGTGGAGGTGTCAGGTGAGAGGAATGTTGTTGTTACCGCTGTCATCTCTTCTAAGTACATGTTTAAAATGCATATTTTGTTCTTGACAAGTAACATTGCACCTGCAGTTCTTTGCCGAGTGCATTTGAGTAGTTTTATTACGAGCGTTTTTATGTTAAAGCGACACAAAGCTGTAAATCCCGTCTGTTGTCATATTTGATTATGACACAGCGAGCCGAGAGAAATTGAACGGATACCTTGAATATGTTACAATAACTGTTTATAAATACACGTGTCTGTTTTAGTTATGCTCCTTGAAGTAAAATAGACGAATATGGCATTTCTTACTGCTGTCTCATTGCTTGCGTCATGTTTTGCAACCTGGAGCAGATGAAAAATCCACTGCTGCAAGACATTAATAATAGCAAACCTCTTATCAACCGCGTATCACCATTGATTTTATTATTATCATACTATTATATAGGTTTAGTTGTCAAAGGCGAAATTTTACCTTAACTAAAAAGATAATATAAATAAATGCAATTCACAGAATTACAACAAACCTAATAATAATGAGACTAAGACGTAATTTGCATTACAGTATTCATCAGTGTGTCCTGTCCCATTGTCTCTCGCAGGTTTCTTGTACCGCTCAAAACATCATGGAGTTTGCTGAGCTGATCAAAACCCCCCGTGTGGATGGGGTGGTCCTCCACCGACCCTTCATGCCCACTGTGGAGGGAACTCTGTGTCTGACAGGACATCACCTCATCTTGTCTTCTCGCCAGGACAACACTGAGGAGCTCTGGCTGCTTCATGCTAACATTGACTCCATTGAGAAAAGGTACATCTGATATATAATATTCATCAAGGATGCATGTAATTGATCAAACGTGACAGTAAAGATATTTATAATGCTATAAAAGATTTCTGGGTTACACTTTACAATAAGGTTCCATTAGTTAATGTTGACTAATGTATTAACTAACATGAACAAACAATGAACGATACTTTTATTACATTATTTATTCAACTTTGTTAATGTTAGTTAATGAAAATACAGTTGTTCATGTTAATTCATTCATTAACTAATGTTATCAAGCACAACATTTGATTTTAATAATGCATTAGTAAATGTTGAAATTTACATTGTCTAAGATTAATAAATGCTGTAGAAGTATTGCTCATGCTTGGTTCATGTTAACTAAAGTAGGTAACTAATGAATCTTATTGTAAAGTGTTACGAATTCTGATTAGAAAAATAAATGTGGTTCTTTTTAACTTTATATTCATCAAAGAATCCTGAAAAAAGTATCACTGTTTTCATAAAAATATGAAGCGGCACAACTGTTTTCAACACTGATAATAATAAGAATTCTCATATTAGAATGATTTCTGAGGAATCATGTGACACTAAAGACTTGAGTAACATCTGCTGAAAATTCAGCTTTGACATCACAGACATAAATATCATTTTAAAATATATTCTAATATTTAGAAAACTTACATTATTATTAAAATGTAATAATATTTCACAATGTTACTGGTTTTAGTACATTTTGATCAATTAAATGCAGCCTTGGTGAGCATGAGAGACTGCTCAAAACACCTTACTGACCTAATGTGCGCAGGTTTGTCGGATCACTGGGAACTATTATTGTAAAGTGTAAAGACCTGCGGGTGATTCAGCTGGACATACCTGGCATGGAGGAGTGTCTCAATATTGCCAGCTCAATTGAGGTAAGACTGCATTAGTACTCACTCATAAAGCAGAAAAATAATGGACTAATAACCCTAATTTCTACTAATCAGTTTATGCTGTCAGTGTTCAGTTTATGATCATTCATTTTTCAGGCTCTCTCCACGCTGGACTCAGTGTCCCTGATGTATCCGTTCTTCTACCGTCCTCTGTTTGAGGTCATTGAGGATGGATGGCAGTTGTTTGTACCAGAGGAGGCTTTCAAAGACCTGGAGTCTATGGTATTGTTTTATCCCTGGAAGCCTTGACCCTGCGGCCATCAGAAAAAGTTGTAAAACAGATTCTCAGTGTATCATTGCTAGTTTTTTCAGATTGTTCTCTGTGGGAAGCCAGAAAAAAAATATTTGTGACTGCATGTTCTGATATCCAATTTAATTCAAATACAGTTAGTATTTCATACACTACCGTTCAAAACTTTGGGGTTGATGAGATTTTATTTTGTGTTTTTGAAAGTCTTTTATACTTACCAAAGCTGCATTTATTTGATTTAAGTATAATAATATTGGGAAAAATAATTTAAACATTTTAAATAACTTTTCTGTATTATAATTTATTTTAAAATGTAATTTATTCCTGTGATGCAAGGAGGAATTTTCAGCAGCCATTAATCCAGTCTTCACTGTCACATGATCCTTCAGAAATCATTCTAATAAGATTATTTGTGGCTCAAGGAGCATTTATTATTATCAATGTTGAAAACAGTTGTGCTTCTTAATATAATAGCAGTATTTCATAATATTTTGTGGAACTTTTAAGTGGTCTAAACAGCATTTATTTGAAATAATTTTTTCTAACATTATAAATGTCTTTACTGTCACCTTTGTACAAAAAATCTGTACAAAATATTCTACTGGAATTAAATAACTTTTTTGTTGTTAGATGTTTAAAAACAGCTTGCTTTTTTTAAGCGATTGGTAGGGTTTCAAGGTACTGTTTTAAAATGGTTTAAGCCCTATTTAACAAATAGAAGTTTTTCATTTGCCTTGGGTGAATTTACATCATCTTCGGCTCCTCTTATATGTGGGATTCCCCAAGGATCCATTTTGGGTCCTATTTTGTTTTCAGTATATATGCTTCCAATTGGGTCTATTTAAATTTTTTTTTTAAAGTATTAATTTCTTTTAAAATATTACTGACCCCAACTTTTGAGTGGTAGTGTATATGAGCTTATTTTAAACTCCTTTTGGTTTAGAATTAGACTTAGTTATAATACATTAATCAAAGCTTTTTAAATGTTTCTGCCTGTGATGTTTGTTATTTCCAATTAAAAATAAAGTGTCTAAATTACAAAGTTGACACTGAGTTCTGTTGTCCACTCTCAGACAGATGAATGGAGACTGAGTGAGGTAAATAAAGACTTCAGTGTGTGCCCCTCGTACCCGTCCCTACTGACCGTGCCCAAAGACATTGATGATGAAAGCCTCTGCAAAGCTGCTTCCTTTCGCCACGGTGGTCGTTTCCCTGTGCTCAGTTACTACCACAAGAAAAACGGCATGGTTAGAAGTGCACTTTGGAAATTTGGTTGTTTCCAAATTATGAACTATTTAATACAGACCCTGATCACACTGTCCACAGGTGATGATGCGAGCAGCGCAGCCACTAACAGGAACCAATGGACGCCGCTGCAAAGAGGACGAGAAACTGATCAATGCCACGCTTTGTGCAGGGAAGCGAGGTTACATCATCGACACACGGACTATAGCTGTAGCGCAGCAGGCTAAAGCTCGCGGAGGAGGATTTGAACAGGAAGCCAACTACCCTCAGTGGAGGAGGATCCATAAAGCAATTGAGAGGTGTGTATCCAGTTATTCTCACATAGCCAGACGGACTGTGTAAATAGATATATGGACAATATTAATATTCTGGCTGATAATCATTTTTATGTTATGGCCAGACATAACAATAAATTTAAAAAAACAGACAAAACTGAATTTGATACAATTTTTTTCTAAATAAACAAAAATAAAATCAGCTGTTTTAAATTTGGACATCACAACATTATTATACTGCATTTATTTGATTAAACATACAGTAAAAACAGTAATTTTGTGATAATAACTGTTTTCTATTTAAAAATATATTTTATAATGTAATTTGTTTCTGTGATATCATTTAATTTGTACTTTTTTGCAATGAAATGTAGAGAACATAAGTGAATTTAATAATTTAAAAAAAGATTACATTTTATTTTGTTAGAAGTTTTATTACGATTGACCACCTGACAGTGTTTGTTTTGTTTTTACATGCCATTTAGAGCCAAGTTTTGATACACAGTAAATATCAGAATGCAGCAGAGAACGTTGGCTGTTCACTATATTTGCACACTGGAAATATTATCATAGGGCATCAGAGAAGAGCAAAAGTTTAATTGTATAAAGACAGTGTATTTAAACAACTTTTTATTTTCATCAAAAAATAAATAAATAAAAATCTGTACAAAATATTCTACTGGAATTAAATAACTATTTTGTTGTTAGATGTTTAAAAACAGCTTGCTTTTTTTAAGCAATTGGTAGGGTTTCAAGGTACTGTTTTAAAATGGTTTAAGCCCTATTTAACAAATAGAAGTTTTTCATTTGCCTTGGGTGAATTTACATAATCTTCGGCTCCTCTTACATGTGGGATTCCCCAAGGATCCATTTTGGGTCCTATTTTGTTTTCAGTATATATGCTTCCAATTCTAGCTTGTTTGAATGACCTGAAAACTTGGTTGGATGAGAATTATTTTGCATATGAATGAATCTAAAACTGAGATTATTGTGTTTGCACCCCCAAATACATATGGGTCCCCTAAATTTGATTTAGGCCCTTTATCCATTCATGGCAAATCCATGGTAAAAAATTTAGGGGTACTTTTTGATGAGTCGTTAAAATTTGACAAACAGATCAATGCTGTTGTCAGATCAGGCTTTTTTTCAACTAAGAACACTGACAAAGGTCAAGCCATTTTTGTCGTTTTAAGATTTCGAGAGAGTGATGCATGCATTTGTGTCTTCACGTCTGGACTATTGTAATTCCCTGTATGTGGGGATTAGTCAGTCCACTTAGTCTCGATTGCAAATTGTCCAGAATGCTGCTGCAAGATTGCTGACAGGCTTTCGGAGACCGGGACCATATTACCCCAATTCTTTCTTCTCTACATTGGCTGCCAGTCTGTTATAGGATTGATTTTAAGATTTTGTTGTTTGTTTTTAAATCTTTAAATGGCCTTGCACCACCATATCTTTCAGATTTATTACAACCATACTCACCATCCAGATCACTTGGGTCCGCTGACCAGACACTTTTGACTTTCGCAACATAATTATGGGGTGAACGTGCTTTTTCAGTGATGGCTCCGAGACTTTGGAACAGTTTGCCATTAAATATTATAACAGCTTCCACACTGGGGTCTTTCAAATCTCTTTTGAAAACTCTTCTTTTTTCACTGGCTTTTTTGTAAGTTTTTATTGAGTGATATTTTGTCATTTAATGTTGTGTGGTCAGATGTCTCTGTGCTGTATAATATTGGTGTGTAATGTTTTTATAATGTATGCTTTTACTGTTTAAAAGGTGTACAGCACTTTGGTCTACTAACTTGTTTTTAATGGTGCTTTACAAATAAATTGCCTTGCCTTGCCTTTTATTTTTATTAATTTATGTACTTTAGTGTGCAAAAGTTTGGGTTCATTTAGCAAGGGTGCATTAAATTGATCAAAAGTGACAGTAAAGACATTTATAATGTTACAAAAGTTTTCTATTACAAAAATTGTGTTCTTTTGAACTTTCTATTTGTCGCAGAATCTTAAAACAAAATTGTATCACGGTTTCCACAAAAAATATCAAGCAGCACACATGTTTCCAACATTGATAAAAATAATAACTGTTTCTTGAGCACCAAATCAGCATATTAGAATGATTTCTGAAGGATCATGTGGCACTGAAGACTGAAGTAATGGATGCTGAAAATTCAGCTTTGCATCACAGGAATAAATTACATTTTAAAATATTTAAATAGCTATTACTATTTTAGTATATAGTATAATAATGTTTCACAATTGTATTACTGTATTTTTGATCAAATAAATGTAGCTCTAGTGAGCATAGGAGATGACTTTCAAAAACTTTTGAAACAGTAAAACTTTTGAGTAGTGTTGTATGGTCAGCATTTTTCTTTGTATGTACATAATGTTTTTCTTAAAAATTTGTAGGAGGAGTGCATATTTCATAATGTCAATATATGTAATGCCATATATAATTACATATAGCCATGTTGTTGATAAATACTACATAATCGTAATGACTATAAAATGTGTCACAGGTAATGTGTAGAAAATAAAGACCCTTGCTAGTGTCCCAATTAGATTATATACTGATTAACAACTTGGGGAACTAGTGAGTGGAATGAAACACAGCCTTGGTTTTAAAATAATGTTTTTCTGTGAAGTCTAGGATATCCTATGATCCTGTAACCTTTACCTCCAGGCCGGTCACCCGTTCCAGCAGCGCTGTGCACAGTCTGCATACTCAAACGGGAAGCCCCGAAGTGAAGCGCCCGTGTTCCTGCTCTTCCTGGAATGTGTGTGGCAGATCCTGCGGCAGTTCCCCTGCTCCTTCCAGTTCAACGAGAACTTCCTGATCATGCTCTTCGAGCACGCCTATGCCTCACAGTTTAGCACTTTCCTCGGAAACAGCGTGGCCGAGAGGTTAGTGTTCCTCTCCATCACAGTCCTGCATAGACGTCCATTTACAGATTCTCACATACCATCTCATTTCCTTTATTACATCACATGCAACCTTTGTTAAAACAGTTTGTTTTAACCTTATCGGATAAATCTCTAAGTAGCCAACACAGGACCTGTCACAAACGCCACACTTATTTTATCACTCTGAAGGTAACTTGTGTGTCTGTGTGCCAGTTACATCTCCAAAGTGTGGATTTGAAAGAAAACCGCAAGGGAATTTAAAATTAGGCCATAGTTTACACTTGCACTTGCCCGTAAAACTGTGTTACACATGTATGTTGGCATGTTGTAATTCTATCAATATGGAAAGATATGTTCAGGAGCAGAAGGTCACGACCCCTTCCGTCAACACTTCTGCGTCAGTAGAGGTCAATTTGTAGCTGGCAGCGACACTTTTGTGTTTGCCTCTTATTCTGAGCAGGATGTTTTGGTAAATGCGTTGTGAAATGATTTTCCGCTTGTTGCTTAAATGTGTATCAGATTTCAAAATGTCCAGTTTTGGTAGTCATTTACTGACAATGAATGGTCTGTAATGTGTGTGTGATGTCATAAATCTGATCTTTAGACCCAAGAGGAGAGGTTTTATTCTGGTTCAACATTTGTGAGTGCATGCTTTCTTTCAATGAACTAAAAAAATAAAGGTTCCTTATTGGCATCGATGTTTCCATTAAGAACCTTTAACATCCATGAAAACTTTACATTGTATAAAATGTTCTTTACAGTGGAAAAGGTTCTTTAAATTGTTCATCACTAAGAAAAAAATGGTTATTTTAAGAAAATAAAAACCTTTTGGAACCTTTATTTTTAAGAGTGTAGCTTGTAGATACAGTAATTCAGTAGGTCAGAATATTTACGAATGTTAAGATTCAGCTTGATGAGTAGAATTAGTGAAAGATTTTCTAATTGCTTATTGTGACTATAATGGATGGCAATGGCTGGATGTGTCTGGCTCTTCGTAACATAAACTTTACTGTAAAGTTTAGCTGTAAATGTAAGCTTTGTACTTCCTGTGTTTCAGGGTGAAGCTGCTGCTGTCTCAGAAAACTGTTTCTTTGTGGTCGTGGGTGAACAGACCTCAGGAGCTGGAGCGATTTCTCAACCCGCTGTACGAGCCCAATAACCTGGTCATCTGGCCGTCTGTGGCTCCTCAGAGCCTGCTGCTGTGGGAGGGTGAGCACCATCAAATCTCCCACGTTCCTCTCATTTTTTGATCTCTTCCAGCACCTGCTGTGAACATCATCATGAAAATGATATTGAAAAGCATGTTTACCCAGTTAAACTATAGGGGGCAGTCACGTGTTGCTCGGTGCTTTAACTGTATTTTTGCAGTGCCACTTCTGATGCGTGAGATGCCTAAAGAGCATGTGGATTGTGAGATCAGTATGTGTTTTGAAATGAATGGTATGGCACCAATCTTCCATGACATGCTGTAGATGCACCTATAGATATCTTGTGCATTAGTCTCGTACTTCAACATTGTTTAACAAGCTTTGAGTCAGATTTCCATCTGAATAACTATAATTCTCCTGGTGTAATGAAAAAGAAATGTAAAAATGATAATTACTAATAATTATTAATTAAATATAAAAAGTATTTACATTTTATAATACAATATTATTTAAATTAATTATTTACAATTGTAAAGAACACACCTATAGTCTGCTGCAAAGTTATTGTAGTCTGTCTATATGACAGAGATGGTGGTTTTCTGGACACAGATTGCCAAATTTTAAAAAATTAAGTTAATATTACTCTAAATATAATAATCCATATATCACCATTGTTTAATCACCTTCAAGAAAACTTACCTTCCTTGTCATGTTTAAGATATTATTAAGCATTAAAGAAGCAACTTCATGCAGACTTCAACATCAGTTTGTTTTAAACCTTTTACCAGTTACAGATTAACGTCACATGGAATTCACAAGTGTGACAATGATTTAACCCCGATGACCTCTGTGCCATTCATTTTTTCAGTCCTCATCTCTGGAGCCTGTCATGCCTCTATTTTAGAGGTGCAGTGAAAGAGACTCTTTCAGGAAAAGCAGACATGAAGTTTAATGGCATGGGGGTTCACTTTCAGTCACATGAGCAGTTCTCAAACAACTCACAGATATGTTTAGACCTTTCATATACACTACCAGTCAAACATTTGGATATTAGTGTACCCACCAAAAGAGCTACATTGAACAATCTTATATTATAGATATATTTTAGATATATAAGTATTTGCCTAGATTACAGTTTATAAACCTGTATTTAAGAAAATGCCATGTTTGTTGGGTATTTTAGCTTCTTTTCCTTCATTAACTGGTCCAACCCATTAAAAATAAATGAATTAATAACAACAATAAAATGTATTTATTTATAAACAAAAAGATATGTAGGCATATATTTCATTATGCAATCATTTATCATTTAAAGGTTTTAATAATAAGCATTTTATAATTAGTAAATCATGAGAAACACATTTAAGTGTTTCAGTATTTCAGTTAAGTAACTTTGAGAGAAATTCAAAGAAATTTGAATGTTACAGTGAATGTCAGGGTTGTGTGTATAGAAGCAAACGCAGTCTGCATGCCAGTATGAATGGAAGTAACACATGCTGCTAGTGTATGTCTGAATGAATGAAAGTAACCAGGTGGTTAGAACGAAACTATTTGAGTTTTCTATTTGCGGGTTATATATGAATGCATCCTTTCTTCAATTTGCACTTTCTTCCAAGTCACTTTTGTACAGAACCATATGTCAAAGAACTATGTCCAGTTTATTTTTGTCAAGCAGATGGATTGCTAATACATTACAGGTTGGCTATATTAACATGGCATCTCAGGCTGTCCAAGATGTAGGAGTTTGTTTCTTCATGAGAACAGATTTGGAATAATTTAGCATTACATCAGTTGCTCACCAGTGGATCCTTTGCAGTGAATGGGAGCCGTCAGAATGAGAGTCCAAACACCTGATCAAAACATCCCAATAATCCACAAGTAATCCATATGACTCTAGTCCATCAATTAACGATTTGTGAAATGAAATGCTGCATGTTTGTTAAACAAATTCATCATTGAGGCATTTTAACTTTAAACCATTGCTTCTGGCTAAAATACGAGTCTGTAATTCATAATGAGGCTTCCTGGTGTGAAAAAGTCCTTCCCCTGTTGTCCTCTCACATAAAAATCCTGTTTTGGATTTTTTTGCTTGTAAATTATGTGTGCATATTTCTCTCCTGATTCAGATGAGACAAACTTTTCACTGGAGAAAGCAATATTGTGGATAGAAGACTTGTAAAAAAAAAAAAAACATCTTAATAATGGATTTACTTCTTACAAACACCGTTTTTTACTTCAAGATATTAACTGGTGGACTGAAGTCTTGTGGATTATTGATTATTGACGGCACCCATTCACTGCAGAGGATCCATTAGTGAGAAGCAAACATATCTATAGCTTGGATGGCTTGAGGGCGAGTACATTTTCAGCAAATTTTCATTTTTGGGTGAACTATTCCTTTAACTGTCAAGGTCCTTTGAGAAATAGCTAATCAAATGTTAATGTGAAAGTTGGATGAGTATTGACCCGTGCACTCTGCTAACATCATTACAAAATGTCAGCTTTACACGTGTTAAGAAACATGGGATTGGTGATTGTGTGGGGATATTTAAGGTTTCCTTATGTATAACCTTAAGGGACAGCAGGGGTGATCAATGTGGCCATCTCACATCTGTTTTTTTTTCTGCTTGTATATACCACTTATGGCAGAAAAGATCACTGATCAGCAACAAAAGATGATGTAATCACATCATATCACATCTCTGACACCTTGTTCTTTTTTCAATAGGGGTATTCCTTCGCTGGAATCGCTCCACAAAGTGTTTGGATGAGGCTTATCAGGAGATGGCCCATATTATAGAGTACAACAAGGAGCTGCAGAACAAAGTGAACAGCCTGCGCAGACAGCTGGCCCAGCTCGAGACGGAGGACAGCCCACTGCAGACACCGTAGGACGTCAACAGAATGGTACACTTCTGATTTGTCATCTCTGTCTTACTGAAATAAGCCTCACGCACATATATCTACACTCCTCTGATCATACTCTTTCTTTCTGACTCCATTGGTCTCCAATGGATTCTACACTCTGCTGCTCTATTAATATGTCATTTTAGTTTTCTTCCTTAAACACTATGCTGCACTTGTCCTTATTATGACGTGTTTCATTTAAAACACCGTAAACTGATTAGCAGGTTATGATATGGATGCTATTTCACTATAAATTGTACATTGGTGTTTTAGTTTACATATTCTCAAAGAAAAGGGACTGCTGACGTGCCTTTTTTTTCATTTTAAGTCCTGTGCCATGAAGTGCAATAGAAAATACAATTCTAAAATGAAAAGGGAAAATATTGGACTGACTATTAGATGCTGGAAATTCATCATTTGAATATAACACAGGTGGTTTACATAGTCTTACATGATCCCTAACTCCTTCCAAAGAGAGACACTGATCACATGATTAAAGAGATAATTCACCCAAAAATGAAAATTTGTTAAAGAGCAGGTCATTTGGTATTTTAAAGTGTCCTAATATGGTGTTGGAGTCCTCTACAACAGGTTTAAATGCATCTAAGGTCAGAAAACATTGTAATTTTCTCAGAATATACATTTAATATTAGAGTCATTTGCCAATGATTTCGAAACGATTCGATCCAAGCAAGTTCGGAGCAAACCCCTCCCTTCCATAAGCCTACTCTGCTCTGATTGGTCAGCTGGCCAAGCCTGCTGTGATTGGCACAGAGAGGAGTCCTTGACTAGAGCAAGTTAGCTAGCGCTACCATTGACAAAGCACCTTTACATAAAACAATAATATATTGCTCCAATCCGTTCTTATAATAATGACATAAAATACTAAAACACTAATGCAAGCAAATCGTGCCCACAGCTAAAGTTTAGCTGCTAAACTGTGAACACTTAAAACAATAATGGTGGATACGTTAGCTGAGTGCTAATGTGACTAACTGAGGAAACAATACTGTTTGTAAACCAAAATATGTCTACTGTAATGTTTGAAGAACGACAGACAAAAGACGCTCTGTGTCTTAACTTTTAATTAGAACGCAGAACAGCTGTATCACAGGCGCACCAGCCTAACTAACTCTCTCGTCTCTGCTGCATTAACCCTATAACTGCCGTGCAGCAAAATAAACAGCAATTTCACAATGATTATAAAGTCTGTGTGCTACACTACATTCTTTATTATTAAACGAAGTAATTAGGACGTCAGTCTACATTAATCGACACATTCTTAGGAAATCGTGGGTTCACCTCAAATTATCAGAACTACTTCAGTAAGACAGTAATATCGTGCTTTACCTGGAAACCTAAATCTGCACTAGGTATACATCACATATTAGCACAGAAACTTGATATTTTGAGCACTCAATTGAAAATGTACACACAACGTATCAATCGTACTTTTTTTTGAAGCAGGTTGTGGCTCGGAGAGTTTGTTAGTCCAAATTAAGAAGATTAGAAGCCAACGAAGATAAAAGCCAAGATTAGAGAAGCAGTCTTTGGTAAAATGACATGCACACAACAAAAGGTTCAAATTGTGTTTCTGTGGTATCCTTGAACACAGCGTCTTCTCAACATGATGTAAACACACTAACTAGTGGAAGTGTTTGTGGGCAGGTCAGACTCGTGTTCGTATTTTGCGGGCAGGCGGGGATTATACAAATGTGTTACCCAGTGACGTATACCGGTAACAGGCAAAAGATTCGACAATATAACGACTCGTTAAGGCGATTCAGAATCAACTCTCTCTTTTGAGAGACAATATCTTTATTTATCATGCATGTTTTTGATTAACAACTTTGCAGATTGTTTTCATTTAAAGATAGCTACGTTATAAACTGCAAAAGAGATATTTTTCAAAAACCCATATGACCTGCTCTTTAAATGTTTACTCACCCTCAAGCCTTCCAAGATGCAGATGAGTTTGTTTCTTCATCAGAGCAGATTTGGAGAAATGTAGCATTGCATCATTTGCTCACCAATGGATCGTCTGCAGTGAATGGGTGCCGTCAATATGAGTCCAAACAGCTGATAAAAACATCTCAATAATCCACAAGTAATCAGCATGACTCCAGTCCATCAATTAATGTCTTTTGAAGAGAAAATATGTGCGTTTTATCATATTAAACTGTCGCTTCTAGCCAAAATAATCCATATTAACGCTTGTGGATTATTGTGATGTTTTTATCAGCTGTTTGGACTCTCATTCTGACGGCACCCATTCACTGCAGAGGATCCATTGATGAGCAAGTGATGTAATGCTACATTTATCCAAATCTGCTCTGATGAAGAAACAAACTAATCTACATCTTGGATGGCCTGAGGGTGATACATTTTCAGTACATTTTCATTTTTGGGTGAACTATTCCTTTAAGAAATTGCCAAATGTGGCACTATTTGCTTTACAAATGTAAGATTGTTTGTACACTGGTAATATTCATATTTGTATAGAGTAAAAATATTTAGTATATGGTTTAAAATACAGATTTCTGTTAGTGATATTGTGAATGTCAAAATAATGTGTCATAAATTTCAATCCACAACCTTTAAAAATCTTTGTTAAATTTTTTTTTTTTTTTGTGAATATGAAGTTCTTTATTAGGATACATGCAGCAGTTGTTTAGAAACATCTAAAAATAAAGCCCACTGGGATTATTAAAGTTTCCGTTCTGCACAAAAGCATTTCATTTCCTCCAGTTCTCCATAAGTGACATGAGCATGGTCTTGTAGACAGGTGTTTGCTGCAAAAACTCGAGCAGATCATTTCACATATCATTTATGCAAAAAAAAAATCAAGATATATACGCTCAATGTGCCGTTAAAGGTTTTTGGGTTCACTTGTTTCATAAATACGTGAATATTCTTTTGGTTTTGATACTGGGTATAGACAGTCAGTTGTTGTTGTTGTTTGGTTTGTATGCACGATTTTTTATTATTTCATTCTGGCACTTCAGTAGCATCAACTGACATGCATCATTAAGATTCACTGTATAATTGTCTATACAGTGTCATGCCTTGCTTTACAAAATATATGAATTAAATGTTTAACTGAAATATGCTATGTTCTGTGGGCATTAAAAGATTGTTTAATGTACATTTGTTTGTTTTTATTTTTCATATTTAAATTGACCACCTGTAAGTATCTCCGTTCCAAATCGATAAATGGTAATAAAATATGACTTATCTTATCAGCGCAACATGATAATGACTGATAAAATCTAATTACCATTGGGAAAAAAAGGAAACAATGGTATGTAAACTTCAAATTGAATATAAAGCTCATATAAAATAAATTATAGAATGTAGAATATATATATATATATTAAGGATTGTGAACATAATTGATTTTTCCTATGGATTATTGAATAATTGAATAATAGATTAAATCCTATTGCTGAACTGTCAAATAATTGGCAACAGCAACACTGTTTTATACTGTTTGTACTTGTGCTGCAAATACAACCGCTGGCTGTGTAAAGCACCACATCTCGCGTCACATAAACATATGGTTGCTTTCTCCACTCATTATCAGGAACATGCAGTATTTCCTGGGGGATGGGCCTGATACAGACACACATATACAGTACACGGTATACGTGTGCTCAAGTTTCAAATGCACTCTATACTGGACCTCTTGTGTTGTGCAGATACTGATTTGCTATGTCTGGAAATAATGTATGTGCTGACATGCTCTGTATTCTGCTTTTAATCATGGACAAAGACAACACTTGTTGGGCGCACGGAGACAGTAGCAGACCTGAAGTAACCTTCGGGCAAACACTTCACGCAAGCCCTAAAAGTGTGTCACTTTGAGTTACTCATTCACTATTTTGTTATGTTGGAGATCTGTCCTTCCTCCGTGACCTGCACACATCAGGCAACCATCCTATTGATCTATTAGATTGAAAAGCCTCATAAATACACCTGAAGTGATGGGACTGAGGTTCTAAGAGATTTTCAGGGTAAAGGTCAATTGAGTTGAGAGGATATGGCCTTGAAGCATCACAGGAAGGCTTAATCATATTGATGGTGAGTGGCTGGCAGACCAGAACCTGTAATAGCTCTGACTTGCCATCCATGCAATGGCAGAACATGTAGCAGAAACAATAAGAAAAGCTGCTGGAAAGGTAATGCTCCTCTGTTGTTTTTGTTTCCAGCTATCAATCAGACTTGCTTTATTTATTTTGTTTTTCTAAAGATGCAAAACATGCTTTTTAGCGCCGTTCACAGATTAAAATAATTAACAATGTTTAATAATGTTTCGTATTTCATTGGTTTTTATTCTCAAGATTTTTTATTTGCTGAAATGCTTCTAAATTAGGGCTCAACATTTATGAGAACGATTCGGGCAAGTTTTGTTGTCACTACACCTCACGTTTGTTGATCATGTATGTGCTTTTAAACCAATATAAAATATGAAAAAATAGAACATCAAGAAAGGAAACAAAGAAATAAAAAAATTTAATTTAAATGAATAATTTAAATAATAAATGTAATAACAAAATAAGTGCAATAAGGTATAACAAATAAGTAGTCAATGCATTTTTTCCCCCATCAAAATCAAGATTTTAGGTTAAATTGTCAATAATAATAGGGAAACTACACCTTCATGTAACTGGTCTCAATCTCTTTTAGGGTTTCACCATTTTAACATTTGAAACACCTTTTTGCCTTCACTAGTTCATTTTCAAAAACATTTATTTTTTTAAAGTTTAAATATTAATTTAATTTTTCTCAATTAATATGATGAATAAAAAAATCAATACCAAAGCTACTACTACTAATAGTATTAGTATTGTTAATTATTATTATTATTATTATAAAAGTAATTCAGTAAAGTGCTGGTTAAAATAGTTTAAATATAGGATGTATATGTTTTAAAATACATTTTAGGCTAAATTAGTGGGGTTATTAATTAATACCGAAGCACATTAAGGTATTCGGTCATTTATCTTTTTTTTTTCTTGTAGGTTTGGTCCTACTTATCAAACTGCAGAGCATTTTATAGAAAGAAGAAACTTTCTCTCCCACCCGTTACTATTTGCTTTCTGTCTCTCACTTTCAACCCCCCATCTCATAACCAAACGTCCCGCTGATGCATTCGTTGTGAGGGGGTTGAACGTGCGACCCTGAAAAGACCCCAGTCGTCATGTTTCAACTAGACGTCAGGAAGGCGTGGCCAGAGCCTCACCTTCAGTGTTGGCCAATCAGAGCGCAGCCGGCGTCTCCTGAAAGCCTCTTGAGCTGCAGATATAAATCCTCCTCTGTGGGCTGATGCAATACTGGAAGATACTGAAAGAAGCATCAGTGACGGAAAACCAGATCAAGAAAGCTGCTCACGGCGCCCAGAAAAACACGCTGTTTGCTTAATCTCCGAATCTTATTCTAGTCAAAAGGTGAGGGAATTCATTTACTGAAATCGATTGCATTTTGCTTTTAAGATTGATTACAGTTAACGTTAGAACCTTATCTGAACGCTGGC